TGGCTGGTGCTGCAGCTGCTCCGGCTAATGTTGTGGCTGCGCCGGCTGATCCTGTTCTGGCTGCTCCACCTGGTGTTGAGTGTTGACGGGAGGTATTTACAAAGGCAGCAAGAGTAGTAAATTCGCACTAGAGGCGGCGTTAAATAGATCTGGGGTGGAGGAGCATATTCCCGGCATATACTTGGGATATTCCTGATACGATGCGGGTACGATGCGGCACAAAGGCATCATGGTATCGGTGAGCATAATGGCTGGGTCAGGTGCACGAAAGGGAGTGGCACAAGTGTCGATCAACTGGGAATGGGGTGGGGAAACACAATTGTGCGGTGTCTGGGGCGGGAAAGGCGGGAATGAGGTATCAATGCAGCGGATGTGTAGACTGGACACGTGGCATTGTCACAGCTCAACACTCCCACGCAGGCTGCACAACCGTTGCACTTAGGCAATGCCCATTGCGTCGCGGCAGAACTTGAACTTGTTGGTGGGCACGGGCTTGGTCAGGATGTCGGCGACCATGGAGTCGGTGGGGATGTAGAAAAAGTTGACTTCTCCACGGGCGACTCGCTCGCGGGCAAAGTGGTGCACGATGTCGATGTGCTTGGAGCGGAGGGAGATGACGGGGTTCTTGAGCATGTGGATGGCAGACTGGCTGTCGGACTTGATGTCGATGCATGCAATGTGGAGGTCCAGGTCGGTGAAGAGCTTGCGGAGCCACAGGGCTTCCTTAACGGTGGAGGCGGCCGCCATGTACTCAGCTTCGGTGGTGGATGCAGCGACAGTGGGCTGCAGGCGGGAGCTCCAGGTGATGGCGCCGTTGTTGAAGGTGAACACGTAGCCGGTGGTTGAGCGGCGGGTGTCAATGTCGCCAGCGTGGTTGGCGTCGCAGTAGGCGTTGAGTGTGGAGTCGGATGGAGTGAAGATGATGCCGTAGTCTGTGGTGCCGGCGAGGTAGCGGAGCACATGCTTGGCTGCAGTCCAGTGCGTTGTGGTGGGCTTGGACATGTAGCGGGCCAACGCTCCCACGGCTTGGGCAATATCAGGTCGGGTGCAGGATGCCAGGTACATGAGGGAGCCGATGAGGGTGGAGTAGGGATGTCCCTTGGTGTCGAGTGGCTCGCCGTCGGCGGTGAGCTTGATGGCGATGCTGGATGGTGTATCGAAGGGCTTGGACTTCTCCATGTTGAACTTGGACAGCAGGTCAGTGGTATGGGTCTGGGTCAGCTTGATGGTTTTGGTGGTGCGGTCTCGGATGATGTCGATGCCGAGGAAGAAGGTGGCTGGACCAAGGTCCCGGGTCTCGAAGGCGGTGGAGATCTGGTTCTTGACGGAGTTGAGCATGTATGTGTTGTTGGTGATGACCAGAATGTCGTCGACGTAGATGAGCAGGTAGGCTGGTGGTGAGGAGGGCTTGATGAAGAGGCCTGGGTCAGCAGTTGACTCCTTGAAGCCCATGGACTCGATCTCGGTCTTCAGGGTGCGGTGCCAGGCTCGGGAGGCTTGCTTGAGTCCGTAGAGGGCCTTGTTCAACTTGCAGGCCAGGTCTGGGTTATCATAGTTGTAGCCAGGTGGTTGCTGGATGTACACATCCTCGTCCAGCTTGCCGTTGAGGAATGCAGTCTTGATGTCGAGTTGGTGATTTCCAGGTCCAGGTCAGCAGCGATGGCTAGCACGGTGCGCAGGGTGGAATATTTGGAGACG